AGTGTTGAACGTGGAGAAGGCCACCTTCACCGGCTGTATTTCTCACAACTGGAGGCATGTCCAAGGAGTGTAAGCGGTTTTAAAAACAAAGTAAAATACAATTTTACTTAAAAAGAGATATTGTGATGTGGTAAGGAATGTGAGGACTAGAATAAGATTCACCATGTTAAGGACAACACTCATTGTTCTACGAGGTTACAGAGGCAAAATAATGGACAAAAAATATGAGACACCTTTCATATATAATATTGGTAGCAGTGGACAATTTCCGTTAACTCTGTATTGTGCTCTGCCAATTGCATCACTTGACTTAATTTATTGTATATATACTGTTTGACACATTTTTCCTTTAAACAGCAACTGCTAAAATTCAAATAAAAGAGCTTTTATAATGGCTTTCATCTTTGCAATTGTGATCCCTATGATTTTGCTTCCACAAAACAACAATACAATGTCCTGTAAAAAAGGCGGTTACTCTATATTCAGATCCATCATGGCAGAAATGTATAATAAGATATGCATTCTAAAGGGAAAAAACGGTAATCTTTCGATTTTTAGTCCCTAAGGCGACACATGACCAATCGATCGGTTGAATGGCGGTGTGTGGTAGAAGATTAGATTAGATTAGATTAGATTAAATCAAAAAAAAGGAAGATACACCCTCACCAAAACTCTCCAAAAATGGTACTAAATCAGAATCCTCCACTCTCAAAAGACCCAGTAATCTTGTGATGGACAAAATCAGTCCTAACCTCAGAGGTGATGATTCCATCAGAGAGAGTCCTCAGAGTCCTCAGAGTCCCTACTATAAATCCTTCCCGCCCTTTGTACCTCCTGAAGAAAACCCAATAAAGACTGAGTCAGACCTCACAGTAGATATAGAAACACCCCCTGTAACAGAATCAGATAAACTGCGGGCTAACAAGACCAATTGCCCATGTCTCGGAAATTCCCTTGGGAAAGAGTGGAAATTTAAATGCACAAGGTGCAACCAACAATGGCATGCATCATGTGCCAACCTCAAGGGAGCTAATGATATCCAAGAGGAAACACCACAACAAGCAGCACTTGATACTATCCTCCAAAGCTGGCTTTGCCCTTGGTGCTTCACTACTAACTTTCCAAAACCTGGTACAAGCACAGCAGCCAAAATGGACCAGACTCTCCTAGATAGCGTTCACTACAGTAAGAATATACAGGTCATCTCAGACGCCATTTCAGGTGCTGTGAACCAGAGCATGCCAACCCTAGAGATTTCATCCCTTGAGATCAGACTAAAGAAGCTCAGCGAGGAGATCTCCAACTTTCAAAGATCACGAAAGCCTGGGACCCACATTACACCAGACCCCAAGCCTGTATCCATTCCCCTCCCTAAAACCATAGAACCACCAATTAAGGACTATAAAATGGACTTCTTTGATGAAGAGACCCTCGAATCTGTGACCAGCTTTCTGTCTGACTGCAAGACCTCACAGAAATTTGTTCAGAAAAACGGCAGGATGGTCCTCAAGCTTGGGGAAAGTTACATGTACTCTGGTGATAGTAGTCCACCCAGCTCGTCTGAAATTCCCCAGCCATTAGTAACAGCCATAGATAAAGTAGCATCCCACTGTGAGCTCACACATAGGCCTAATTCAGTACTAATAAACTATTATCCTCCACCAGACAATGCTACTTTGTGCAATGGCCTAGCCTTTCATTCCGATGACGAACCTGACATGACGAACCTGACATCTTACCTGATATCTTCCAGACTATATGCCCTCGTATTAAGATATTTGTTACCGCTGTGTTGCCTTCGCGATTTCCCCGCATGAACATGAACATCATCATGTTCAACAGACTTGTCTATGATATGCTTGAGTCAAGCTTCGAGCAAAGTGTGTGGCAGATCGGTGTCTATCACTTCGTTGATAACAAGGGTCTGCTTGCCATGAACTTGACTAGAGATGGGGATGAGATACATCTTGGCAACCGCGGTCTATCTAAGTTTGTGAGATGTGTTAAACATTGGGTGTATGGTCAAGTTCGGAGACAACCTGTACATAAAATCAGTCACTAATTACACTCATTTCACTGCCATGAACGGTAAAATTAATTATAGTTCCTCTGTAAGTCCAAGGGGTACAGGCTCTTCAGATATTATACTCCAAACCTTTCTATAATGATATCTGGGTTCAAAATTTAAATAACTCAACCTTGGTGGAGACAGTGGCCACCTGAAAGTTACAAAAATAAAGGAGCTGTAAATCACTTATGAAAAAAGTATTTACTCCAAATTTCACAATTTAAAGTTACGTAAGACAGGTGGGTACTCAAAAAGTGCCGGTTGAGCAGGTTTGTCTGCTCAACACAGGTGGAGCAGCTCACTGACTACATGAGCTAATATAAGTGACTAGAACTAACCCTCTCATGCTTTTTAATTGCTCCAAAGTCCTAATATTTAATATTATGGGTTATACCAATCATATTTCATAGAATAGGATCCTCAGAATCGGCTCAACCGAGGTGGAGACAGCATAACATGCAGTTCAAAATCTGTTATTCTGTAGTTTAGGAGCTGTAGAGTGACTGTGGCAGTCCATTTGCAATACCAATGATTCTAAATCATCTACCAACTCATATTACAAGGCATCCTTGCTGAAAAGTACACTCAACATAGGTGGAGACTCAAATTTGGCAAATTTGGGCGTAAATTTGACCTCAGAAGTCAAGGTTCTCCACCGCGGTTGAGTGGTTGATGGCTAGTTTGATGAGTTGTATACATGCTAAAGGGTCACCCAATGTTATTTCTTCCAAAAATCAACTGCCAAAGCTCAACTCAACCCGGTGGGGCCAGTTTTAATGCATTTTTTAATGTTTTAATGTTTAATCAACAATTTCTCCACCTTGTTGAGTACCTTTTCACAACTTTGATAATTTTTTCATTTGCTAGAACACTTTGCTTTAAGACAGAAGGGGTAACAGTTTTATGATCCCCTACAGAAGCAGTTAACAGAGCAAATTAGAATTAGTGATAAAACCAATGAATTTAGGCATGTTTGACAGGCTTTTTACTGTTTCTTAATGAAAGATCTCCACCCTGTTGAGCGTCAATGGAAAAAACAAAATTTAACGGGAAGTAGAAAAGGCCGAGACGCAACTTTCTAGCTAACCTAGAACTCTCTAAACCTTTCTCCACCCCCGGTTGAGCAGCTTTGAAAAGTGCATTTAATTTCTCCACCTCGGTTGAGCACTTAAATAAAATATTGATAAAACTATCAGATTGCAAATTTGATGTAGTTTGTGTTACCAATAACCTTTTCCACCTTAATCAAAAGTTTCTTCAACCAGAGCCAGTCTCCACCTTAAATCTCCACCTTTTAAGGGTTTGTTTAATACCACCTGTATCTGCTCAACCGTTCAACCTTTTAATTTTTTTTTTAACTCAGAGAAAGTCCTGAAAAATGTCTTGTCAGCCATATAATCAAGGAGTTTCAGTCTGTGTTGAGCTGGCTCCACCACACACTTCTAAAAAAGTAAAAAATGTACAGGTTGTCTCCGAACTTGACCGTATGTGCGTGAGAAACTTGAGAGAACTAGACAGAGGAAACCTGGTCAGACAGTGGGATATGATCCCACTTGATCAAAATGAGCTTGAAAATCAATAAGGAGGTGTGCTATCCGTGCAGTAAGTCGATTAATATTGGGCAACCTATGCTTGAATGTGAAAACTGCACCAAAGTTATCCATACTAGATGTTTTAAATCTGCTAGTTTTAAGTGCAAGAATGGCCTATGGATGTGCCCAGAATGTGCACTTATCACAGAGGATAGGTACTGCCCCTTTGACAATCAAAACGATCTCGAAACGTCGGACAGGCCCTACAATGAGGGTGCAGAAGACACCCTCATCCAAAAATTTTGTCATACCCTCGAGAGCTGTAAACGTTATTCCAAACGTGAATTCACAGAAGTAGCTACAAAAATCAGCAGTGGTGATGGGTCCTTCCTCTCAGCACTGTTCCTCAACATTGATGGCAATGCCAGTAATTTCGATACATTCCAAGTTGAACTCAAACGGTTATCTCATCCATTTGATGTTCTTGGACTTGCTGAAACCAACGTTGGTAGTAGCTTACAAGAATTATACCAGATCCCATCTTACACCAGTTTTTATCAAAATACCCTCCCAGATAAGAAAAAGGGCACTGGGGTTGCGCTTTATGTCTCAGACAACCTTAACACTGTTGTCCTAGAAAAGTTATCCTACTGTACTGTAAACATTGAATGCTTATTCGCCGAAATCACTGATAGCACTGGTGTTGGGGTTGTCTACGGAGTTGTATACCGTCCCCCAGTGGCTGCCTTGAGGCTTTTTGTGAAATTGTACGAACCATTGCTAAGCAGATATCCGGCAAGCCCTTTCGTTTGCTTGGCGACTTTAACTCAGACCTCTTCAAAGTTTCGTCACACAACCAGTTATTTGAAGACACTATAATTAGTAATGGTTTGTATCCATCCATCTCAATTGCTACCCACTTCCGGCCTAATTGTAAAAACTCGTGTATAGATAACATCCTAGTTAGTGATATTGATAATGTTATGCTCTCTGGTGTACTTCAGGATAGATTAAGTGAACACACGCTCATATTCTCCTTCACCTCAACCCCGGCCCCAAGAAATAAGAACATTGAAAAACATGTCCGCTACTACGACTACTCAAGTGCCAAGCTTAAAAATTTTGTTTGTGACCTTGAGGTGAAGGCGAATCAGCTGTCCCAATCTTCAGATTTTTGCGAATTTGTCGATTGCTTCAAATCCACCCTTGACAAGCACTGTAAATTAGAAGTACCGAAAACGACCAAAAGAACACCAAAGCTTAATCCTTGGATTACAGATGGAATCATCCTCTCAATTGACAGAAAACATGAGCTTTGTAAAGAATGGTCAGATACAGTAACAAATAAAGATCCATCTGGCAATGTCCTTCTTTATAAGATATTTAGTGACTATCGTAGGATGCTTAAGGGTATCATAAAGGCAGCCAAACGCTCCTATTACTGTAACGAAATCTATAAAAACATTGAAAGCAGTAAGAAAACGTGGCAGATAATAAATGAGCTTAGGGGCAAAAGAAAGAAAACAACCAAACCACCTTTCATCATCAATAACGAAAGAATCTTGAACCGGAGAGCAATTGCCAATGGTTTTAATTCCTGGTTCGTATCAATTGCTCCCAAGCTCAATGAAACTATCACAACTGACTTGTCTTCTGGTATTCCAATTCTCCCCATGAAAACATTCCATGACTTCCTTAGCCCTAGTAACTCTCGATCTATTATGTTAGAGGACAGCACTCCTGAGGAGGTTCTAAGAGTAATCAAAGAATTCGAGAATGGAAAGGCCAGTGATATTCCCATAACCGTTATTAAAACTTCGTCCCACGTTATTGCACCAATTATCAGCAGACACTTAAACAAGCTTATGTCAAATGGTACATTCCCTGATATACTTAAGACTGGCAGAATCACACCCGTCTTCAAAAAAGGTAATCCAGAAGAAATAGAAAACTACCGTCCTATATCCACCTTGTCCATATTTGGCAAAATATTTGAGAAAATCATATATTCTAGGATTTATTCGTTTGTCAGCTCTCAGGGAATAATATCTAAGACTCAGTTTGGTTTCAGGCAATCGCACTCAACCTCCCATGCAGTAAACTACTCTGTTGACCTCATATCTAAGCACATCAAATTGAAGCACCATGTGTTAGGCATATTCATCGACCTCAGCAAAGCTTTCGATACTATAGATCACTCAACATTACTTACAAAACTAGAAAGGTATGGCATCCGTGGCGTGGCAAACGATCTGATCAAGAGCTACCTAACTAATCGATTTCAGTACACTGATGTTGTAGGAGAAAAGTCCGACCTACTTCCAATAAAATTTGGGGTTCCCCAGGGGTCAATTCTCGGACCCCTTTTATTCCTACTTTACATAAATGATATCTCTAATAGCTCTAGCTTGGGATCGTTTGTCACCTTTGCGGATGACACCAACATATTTGTTGTTGGTAAAACTGCACAAGAAGCATATGAACGCAGCAACGCCCTACTTTCAAACCTTCAAACATACATGCGGGCTAACAAGCTTCACATAAACATGTCAAAATGCTGCTACATTCACTTTAGACCTAAGTCACGTACTGAAGCAAACGTTGAAGAAGAATTCATAATGAATATAGACAACTACCCCATCAAAAGAGTAACGTCAGCTAGATTTTTAGGAGTCGTCATTGACGAAAATCTAACATGGGAAGAACATATAATAGCCCTAAAACGAAAGCTTAACCATGCCACCTCAACTCTGTGTCGTCTACGCTGCTCCCTCCCAGAATTTCTCCACAGACAGTTATACTACACTCTTTTTGAATCCCATCTGTCGTACTGCATATCAGCATGGGGTGGGGCAGCTAAAAATCGTATAAGCTCAATATTCACTGCACAGAAGTACTGTCTGAGGGTCTTGTTTGGTGATAGAGCAGCCTACCTGGATAAATTCAAAACGTGTGTTCGAACCAGACCATTTACTGACCAGAAACTTGATAGTAAATTTTATAAAAAGGAGCACACCAAACCTCTGTTTAAAAACAACGAGATACTCACTGTACAAAATCTTTATACTTACCATAGCTACATAGAATTATTCAAGATCATGAAGTTTTCTACTCCTATGTCTATGTACGAAGAGTATTCTCGTTCTTCCAGGAAACCAATGCTTATTATCAAAAACCGGATCCCCCAGACAACCATAACACGAGGTCAACGAAAATATGGAATATAATAACCCCCAACCTTAAAATCTTTGATTGTTCTGTTAGTATTTCTTGCCTGAAATCCAAACTGAAATCTTCACTACTTTCCAACCAGCATTGCCATGCTGTGTATGACTGGACAAATAAAGACTTTGATATTTGTAACCTTAAATTTTCGTAGGCTCCTGCAGGGATTCCACCTGACCTCCAAAATTTCATGACCAAATCGACTTACTCTGCCAGCGTATTCCTCTGTCAAGTTAAATGTGATGTGTGAGTGAGTAAGTGTAGTGTAAAGAGATCCTATTTTTGTATCCAATTTGAATTCTAATAAAGACCCTAAGCATTATGATCAAATTTTTAGTACAATAGTTATATCAGGGTTGACATCTATGATTAATATTATAACCCAATATTCATTTATTTTTCTCCCTTAAATTTAAACCCCCGGCCCCTACTTAGACATTTAGCCATGATTTAGTATTGAACACCCAAAATACTTACCGTCCTTAATAATCGTAAAGACCATTTGTTACAAAATAGCTGCTAGAATAATGCATGCCAAATATTCCCTCTTACACCCACAAATTATAATGCCTTCCTATCAACGCCTCTAATTTGGTCACTAATCAACCAGACTAGCGTTATGGTGTGTACAAAAGCTACCAGCCAGTACATTCCTTGCCCTGCTAGTTGATTGTCAAAAAATCATACAGCTCAGAACAAATGGCCATTTACCACTAAGAGCATTATATGTTTTCATTTGTTTAAATTTTATGCTGTAGAGAAAAGACAATTTTTTGAGAAAAGACAATTTTATTATTTATCACCAATTCAATACATAATCAATAAATATATATCCGAATAAATTTGATTTAAAATTAAATGAAACAAGTATGCTAGCAGCTAGCGCGCTTGTATTTAATAAATATTCACGCTGTTAAAAATGGGTCTTACCACACCGCCACTCACATTAGCACAGTTGGTGAACGGACCCAGGCGCTGTTAAGCTTTTATGAGCCCTGGTTGACTGCTGAGAGTGGCGACGGGTCTAACATTAATTTTATTTTAGTTTTCCCTATATTCCAATAAAATTTTAGTTTTGAGTTAAATGGTTTTATGCGATATTTAAGTTGAAGCTGCTTGCAATACATTATTGCTTGAAAATTGTTTAAATATGCTCGCTATACGCTTAATTTTTAGATACCGTATGTATATGTACACATCAGCTCATAATACTATAAAATAACAATAATAAATAAATTAAAAGCGTGAAGAGGTCCAAAACCAGTTCAAGCATGCGACACCAGAATGAATACATTGACATCGGAAGCTGCAAGCTTATTAACGTTTGATTCCACGATGATCCGTTATTATGCAGTCACCTTCAGGCGGTGTCGACGGATCATCCGAAAAGGGTTTTTGACAGGCTGTGCCCTTACCATAATTAAACTGAACCATTGCCTGGTACGATGTAAACATGAGTGGTGGATAAGAGAGCCGCGCAAGCGCTCGCGCCGCGCGCATTTGTGTCGCTCTGACAAATAGCGCTTTAATAATTTAGCTACCAAGACGTAAATCGCGCGTTACGTAAAGTATCATTTTTCCCTTCGGATAAAGCGAACGGTACACCCGCGTGTAACCTTCTTCAATGGGTTGTGTGCGTGTTTGGTGGAGTGAGTGTATAATGTAATGATTGAATGAATCTTTTTCTTTTGTGGTGTATATATGATGTGAGTGACAGGTGTAAAATGTAAAAGATATAAATATAAATGGGGGTCTTTTCATAGGAAAGTGTTGAAGTTTAAGTCCTGCCAGTTAATATTGTTAGGTTGGTGTTGAGCCTTCATGATAGAATACTTCAATTGGGATTTAATTGAGCCTAGAGAACCTATTTTACCACGTGCATTTGACTGTTCAAGAAACGTATTCCATAGATTTGCCCCTTTATATGCGAAATTGTGAGATGAGTGTGGTGTCACAAATCTGTCATCTCTGAGCTGAGACTTCTTAAATAGAGAATACATGGATATGGGCTGATGACTCTTCACTATCTTCATTGTTTCAGTAATGCATCTGTATCTATATATGTTATGTACTGTCATTAGTTCCTTAGATTGGAAAATCGGTTTTGTTGATTCTCTAGAGTGGAATTCTGCCCCAAGTATTTGGCAGCGATGTGGCCTTACTTGTCTATCACCAATCTTCCTCAAGCTGATACATATAGAACACGGTTTAATGTGAGGTATAGTTGATTCATTGGATATTTGACCTTTCTTGTTTATACTGCACTGGATTGGCCTGCTACGAGAACAAGTTTTAAACTTGTCGCTAAATGCTTCAGAGTCCCCAAATAAGATTCGGACACATTTCTTCTGTGCAAGGAATGGCGGTGAAAGCTTATTAATTGATACACCACCCCATACAGTTATACCGTATCCTAGATGAGACTCAAAAAGAGTGTGGTATATCTGTTTGTACAGCTGGCTGGGGAGGGAGTTTTTTATTCGATAAATACGGCCACATATACTGTTTAATTTCTTAGTTAGTTTCTCGATATGAGGTGTCCAACTCAGTTTGTCATCTATAATAACACCTAGAAATTTCGTTTCAGTAACCTGTTTGATCGGGATTCCATCAATTTCTAGATTCAAGTCATTTTCAGTATTATCAATGGTCTTACGTTTAGTAGGCGAGAAGTACATGTAACAAGATTTTTTAACATTAATGTGCAGTAGATTATGGCGCATATATTGGCACACAGAGTCAAGAATTCCATTCGCTATTTTGTATGCTAGTTCCTTAGTTTCAGCAGCTACAAAGATGTTTGTGTCATCTGCAAATAGTACAAACTTTCCTAATGTACTACATCTATAGATGTCATTTATATAGATAAGAAAGAGCAAGGGGCCCAAAACGGATCCTTGTGGTACGCCTAGTTTAACTGGGAGAGGCTCTGATTCTTCACCAAGTACACTAACATACTGGTATCTATTATTTAGATAGCTGGAGAGCAGCTTTAGTGCGTTTCCTCTAACTCCGTAATTACTAAGTTTCTTAAGTAGCATATCAAATGGTAAGGTATCAAATGCTTTAGAGAGATCGATAAATATTCCTAATACGTGGTTTTTATTATTCCGTTTTTCTTCGACATGATTTACGGAGTAGTTAAGAGCATGACTTGTCGAGTGGTTTTTTCGAAAGCCGAACTGATTTTCGAATATTATTCCTCGAGATAAGAAAAAGTTGTATAATCTACTGTAAATAATTTTTTCAAATATTTTGCCAAAAACTGGTAATGTTGATACTGGCCTGTAATTCTCAAGTAATTCCTCATCTTCTTTTTTATATATCGGGGTTATCTTACCCGTTTTCAGTTGATCAGGGAAGACACCTTCATTCATGCAGTTGTTATAAATTCTGGCAAGATGTTCTGATATAGTTTGACTACACTGCTTCATTACATGTGCCGGTATGTCGCTAGCTTTACCGTTATTAAATTCACTTATAATTTGTATTATTTCAGAGCTTGTACATTCAGCGAGATAAATACTTGACGGACAGGACTGTGGCAAGTAGTCAGTGAATGATTTAGCAATTATAGGATCTTCATCAATCCTCCTCTCATAGACCTCGTTCAGATTGGAGGCGATTGACACAAAGTACTTGTTAAATTCATGAGCAATAACTCGTCGACAAATAACACGCTCATTGTTTATCATGAATGACGGTTTCATTTGCTTATTTTGCTTTCCTCGCACTTTATTAATTAACTGCCAGGTTTTTTTACTGTCACCCTGACACTCCTCAATTTTGTTGCACGTGTAGTGGCGTTGAGCTAGTCGTATTACGTGTTTAACTCTCCTACGTTTGTCAGTAAAATTAGCATGCTTTTCCCTGGCATCATTACAAGGATTGCAGTGACAGGCTTCCTTGATCTCACGACAAAGTTTACCTGGATTATGCAAACATTTCTCTCTCTTCGCTTTATGCCAGTGGTCGTGCAGCTCATGTTTTTTATTTATAGACGCGATTAATCCTCCTGTTATCCACGGATTTCTAATTGGCGTTCTTTTGGAGATTTTAGGTTTACTGAGTTTACATGATTTGTCTAAATTCGTTTTGAATGTGTCATGAAATTCATTAAAGTTTCTTGGTGGATGCTCAGAGAAATCTTGGTTTAAAGACGAAACAAGAAGTCCAACGTTCGATTCACTGTAATCATAATATTGGGTATGTTTAACTTGAGGTTCAGAGTTAGTTACAGCTAAGTCTTCAAAAATATGGAAAACTGGCAGATGATGCGAGATTCTGTCAGATACTGTACCTGAGGCAACAACCTTGTTAATATCATTTGTGTAAATGTTGTCAATACACGTTTGATTACATCCCGGTTTCTCGTGCGTGTGTGTTGATATAAGAGGTGAGAAACCAGCACTAAACATTATCTCCTCGAGATTGTTAACTTCTTTACTATTAGCATGAAGGTTGACGTTAAAATCTCCCATTATGTATGCAGATCTTTTAGGCAATATCTGGAGTATTCTGGATAATTCTGTCAGGAAGCTTGCAAAATTACCGCTGGGTGGTCGGTAAATAACCCCAAAAGTTACTTCTTCTGAGTTTTTACGACTAGTTACGAATAGTGATTCTAAATTCTCGGTTACGTCTGACGCAAGTTCGTTCACAACACTGCTAAGTCTATCTTGAACATATAATGCTACACCAGTTCCTTTGGATTTATTACCTACAGTATTCTGGTAAAAACTATTGTAGTTAGGAATTGAATACACGGTGCTTTCATCAGGACCTATGTTAGTTTCTGATAAACCTATTACGGTGAAGTTTTGGTTAATGCGGTGCAGTTCAGTTAATAGACTATCAAAATTGCTTTTATTGCCATCAATGTTAAGAAAGTAGGAGCTGGAAAACTTTTTAAGGTTTTCTCCATGCGATGAGTTGATTTCATTAGCAGAATAAGCTTGGCATTTGTCTAAGATTGAGGATATTTTATATGTTTCGTCATGTGCTTCTGGTGAGGTTGTGTCATCTATAAAGTGTTTGAAGGGATTATACTTGTGTACTATTTTGTCTTTGCAAAAATGTGTAAAATGTGCTAAAACTTTGATTATTTGTTTAATTGATTATTTGTTTAATTGATTAAGAATAATGACATAAACATCATCACTAGTTTTAAACATTCTTTTTGATTTCCTCATTATCAGAACTGTGACTATTTCACAGCCTTCGTCATTTAAAAACAAACAAATTCTATAACTAACATAATTGTCATAATTTATTTACATATAAAAGAGTTTAAAAAGTTAAAAACCGTTAATTTTAAAAATAAATAAAATATTAGTTGGATCACGAATTATGAAGCTGATCGAACGATCAGTTAACTGAACAATTTTATCAGCAGAGAAAAGTTATTAGTAAAACAAAGTTATCAATTTATGCCAATTTTATACATCAATGTAAGGAAGTTGGTCTAATTTCTCGTTAGGGTTATAGCCCTATATATATATTAGGGTTTCAGCATATCATATGATTCAGTTAGGGATTGGGTTAGGTTAAGGGTTGAGATCAGATAAAAGGGTTAAGGTTTCGAATAACAATTTTAAAACACTAGTGTCTTATTTCTCCGTAAAAAGCTAGCACAATTAATAGCGTGAGTAGCATTTTTGGGCGCCTCGAAAGTGATTTTAAACAATTTTCCGTTCAATTTTGGTCGCTTAAAAAATAAAGCAAGTTATAGAACTATTTTATAATAGTATCAAATTGTATGTGCTTTATCGAAAGATTTATTACCTAGCTGGCTCGCCAATCCCTGTGTGCGCGCGAGCTGCATGCTCTTTTCAAGCTTCCTGCACAGGATAGGAACGAACAATAAACCATAAACTAGCAAGCTAGGTAAAAGATATTTCGCAGGTCTTAACAGAATTCACAAATTTCAGCATTTTCAATAATGAATAAGAAAAACAACATTTTTAAAAGAAAAACAAAATTTTTATTTACCATTAATACATATTATTTTATATTTATAGATAAAGTCAATGTTTGATGTTGAAAATTCAACCATATACACAGCCCGCCGCGCACACAGCCACACATTTGACATTGATTGACGATGTCAACCCTTCCAGATCGTTGCTCTACGAAGCAGATAAGAGCAACGAAGCAAGAATGCTAGTTTGCGCGGCGCGTCGAAGCGGCGAAGTCCTCCAAATTTGACATTGTTAAGTAATCATAAGGTGCGGGCGTAAGCGCCTTAACACACGCGCTGCAAACCTTTTTGATCGCCTTGACACACGCTGCAACTCCTTTTTGATCCGGCTTTCCGGAGTGCGCAAGCTTCGCGTACTGCACGAGAAAGGTGTACAAAGTGTATCAATAATGAATAAGCGCCGCGCGCGGCCGCGGGATCTATTCGGTTATTGATATGGTGAGTGAATAAAATTTTGTAACGCGATGCACTACTGGGTCGCGCGCGCATCAAATAATGCTTCTCGCAACCACATCTACTTCGGTAAATCGGCGAGATGCACCACTGTGCCTCACCGAGCCATGCGAAGGATTGACATCGTGAATCAAATAAAATTTTATTATTTCAAAACGTAATTGATAAATCCACAGTTGGCGAACTGTAAAAATTAAAATGTTTTGTGTCTATTGCTTATAAATGTTTTATCAAATATGAAATACGGAACGTTCTCCAACTGTTGTAGGTTTTGAGGTTTATAACCTACCAATACAAAACTTACACTATATAACACAAAACGCCCGCCGAGCTTTTATTTTATATATTTTATATTTGGAACAAATATTTTAAGAGTATCACCCGTTAAATAACCTAACTACGTGTTAGGTTATTTAACAAGCTGAAAAAGAAGGCGAAACTAAACAATTTTGCTAATTTTTCCATATAATTATAAACAATCTATATCTGCCATGTTTGATATTCGAAAATTTTCTTGAAGGAATATCAAGTTCAGTGAAGTAATCTCATCAAATTGCATTTTATTCTACAGATCATAAAGTGCTGAAACTTTCTTCATGGACTTAATAACGTTGCTCTTTTTTTCGACTTATGGAATACGAATATAAAAGATAAACAATAAAGAAAACAACATTTCATCGAAAAAAATTGACTACCCAAACCCACCCCCCCCTCCTATCGCATGTAAATGTTATACATGATATCATATGTCTATTGTCTATAATTATATCATCTTTATACACTGTATGTAATCTTTTGACATACGTTGCATGCCACTTTTCGCGCGCGAAGCGCCGAATATCTCTGATATTTGGATACGAAACATGTATCAAGTAATCTTCACTTTGCGTCTCCCACACAATTTGGTTGCTTGCTTTCCCATTCATTCACAATCTATGATAGGAGGCAACTGTACTCGGTACTGACCATGCGTTACGGCACTAACTGAGCTCGTTACAATTTGCAGGCCGTACATGAAATGGGAAAAGCGAGCAACAGATTTCATTCTCGGTATAATTTTGTGTTTGGGTGCGGTTACTGTAATTGCAATCATTTATTCTAGTTTGGAAAAAGGAGACACTGGTGACGGTCAACTCTACTCAACATATGACTATGTAATATGATATTTAACTCAGAGCGTCCTCGAGCGCATAGCAGGTCTCGTGTCATGAAGTCACGTGATCACATGACCAGTGACTCATTAGATCACACCAGCTAACATTTCGCACTGCCATTCTCAATTCTAGACTTTTCCTTCGTGTTGTGTCGACCGCGTATTTAACAAAAATTGCAGATTTTCGCATTCTCGATGGTGAGTGAATGACATTTTAGAACGTGATTGATAGATGAAGTTCTGATTCGTAGGAATTAGGATGTCTAGTATTTCATATTTATAAGTTTGTTAAATATGGAATTGGAACGGTCTCTCTCTCATTGCATCTGTTGAGGTATGAGTTACGGTCTTTCACTCTGCAAATTATCATTCTTGGAATAGCAATAAATAACAATTTAAATATCAAACCACTAAAATTGTTCAATAGAGAAACTGGCAAAAAAATCAATTCACTACTTTTAAAAACTACATTTGAAGTTATCAATTCTAAAAATCTGAGACACTATCACAGCGATTTACAAAAACCATGCGCATGCATGTAGCGATGTTTCAATATCACAAGATGATTTACTCTTCAAGTGTCATAAAGTTCGCTATAAGAAGGCGGAGGCTCCTCTGGTAAAGCACCTGCTGAGATATTTCCAGGTTGCACTGCTACGACGTTTGATTCCTCATAGCTGGGCGGATATTCAGGAAGATCTGATATACTTGCTCTATGGTGATGTGGTCTAGTTGAACTGTTTACTGAAATCCCATAGCCGTTCTCAAGAAAGGATTCAGTATTTGGGAATAAATTTGATTCTGAAACATGCGCACCACTATGACTGCTGCTTGTACTACTAATACTAATACTACTACTACTACTATTGCTACTATTACTAGAACTACTACTACTACTATTGCTACTATTACTACTACTACTACTAAAACTACTGCTACTACTACTACTACTACTACTACTACTACTACTACTACTACTACTACTACTACTACTACTACTACTACTACTACTACTACTACTACTACTACTACTACTACTACTACTACTACTACTACTACTACTACTACTACTACTACTACTACTACTACTACTACTACTACTACTACTACTACTACTACTACTACTACTACTACTACTACTACTACTACTACTACTACTACTACTACTACTACTACTACTACTACTACTACTACTACTACTACTACTACTACTACTACTACTACTACTACTACTACTACTACTACTACTACTACTACTACTACTACTACTACTACTACTACTACTACTACTACTACTACTACTACTACTACTACTACTACTACTACTACTACTACTACTACTACTACTACTACTACTACTACTACTACTACTACTACTACTACTACTACTACTACTACTACTACTACTACTACTACTACTACTACTACTACTACTACTACTACTATTAATACTACTGCTTATTTTAATGCTACTACTATCTTGAGTATCTCTGTTCCTCTGTGCCCTTCTTCTACCAAGGTTCCAGCACATCTTCAGTAGAAAAACACCACTATTCCTTGACAAAAAGCAGAATGTTCATGCGTTCATCATTTGCCCTGGAAACTGGAAAGTAAAGTTAAACTAAAGAGTACAAATAGGATTACGATAAGTTTTTACAGAAAAATAAGAAGTTTAACAGAAAAAGCACTCCACACAGGCCACAGCTAATACAATCCAAACATCATCAACTAACCCATTTCACACATTCCACACGAAGATTGCTGGCACAGCTCATGTTACATTAAAGGGACCGGGGGGGGGGGGGGGGGGGGTCATCAACAAACAGTAAACACGGAGAAACCGTTAAAACTGTCACCGACCTTGCGGTATAACACAAGCTGAAAATTGAAATGGGAGGCGAAATTGCGGTAATTTACATATTTTATATACCAGGGTTAAAACTTTTACTTTTTAAAGGAATTTTTAATTCAGTGAACGTTTCTTATCAAATGGTTGTTTATTCTGTCCATGAAACTCTGAAAATAAAATATCTCCATCGAGTTTAAAACGTCGTACTTTTTTAGTCGACTTACGGACAGAAATAAACAAAGACGAAATGTTCGCCTTGTAACCTTTCCAAAAAGAATTGACAATCCTACGACCCCCCCCCCGGCCCCCCTTCCATTACCGCATGTAGATTGTTGATGTAATACATATAATATGTTGCTTCAACTTTACACACTGTAATCCTCACTTTGTGTCTCTCACACTACGTCTTTTGTCCTGTGCTTTAATTTGACTGTTAACATCACTTACTTTCGTCCCTTATATTTCTGTTTGAAACTTATGTATCATTGATTAAATTTAATGATAATAACGACCACATTTATTTCAGCATTGAACTGACTGAACAATGGATCAGTATCTAAAGAATGGAGCAGAAATATTTAAAAACTTCTGCTCCTCTACCAACAATCAACAAATGATGCTGCCAAGAGCACCGGATCAAACCTACATCGACCTCTACCCTGACAAAGATGACCCAGAGTCCAGCTTTAACTTTAGAGAGGAGAGACAACATCAATCTGACTATGAAGCCGAAGTGGTTGTTTATAGAGCTTTGGAGGGAAAGGATGGAAATATGATCGTGCTTCATAATTTTGAATTCACACATCACCAATATCGTTTGTGTGACAAAGGTCATGTAAGAAGAGGATGTCCTAAATGCAAGGGTAAAAAGGCGGAAAACAAGGAAGGAGAGTGCGATTTTTTAATCATCTGTCCAGAATTGTTTGTGGTGATTGAAGTAAAGAACATGAAGAATGTTGAGAGAGAAGTTGTGGAATGTGAACCAGACTTGTGCACAGTTGGTGAAGACAGCCAGCAACCTGGGCGTCTGACAATGGATCAGCAGTTGGAAGCTTTGAATGGAACATTCAAGAAATCCATTGAACAGAGGAATAAGATGGTGAAACTGATTGACTGCATAGATGAAGGTATGGTTACTCTTCAGTTTACTGCTTATCCCAATTTCAGTAAAGCGTATCGGGAAGACTTCAGCGGTTCAGGCGACCAAAATTCAACCATCATTTTCAAAGAAGATTTAGAGAACTTTGATATTTGGTGGTCGGAGAATGTGAGCAAAAGTTCCCTTGTCCATAACAACCCCACCTCTGATTCACAAGAGTTTTCGACAAAGCATGAGAAAATTAGGAACATGCTTCTAGCCATTTGGAGCACAGACAAAAATAATTTCAACCAGGCAAAGTGCAGTTTAGGGCATTGCATCTTGGACATAGACAAACGGCTCAAGGAAGGACTATTCACTTTTAAGCCTAAGAAAGGGAAGAGTCGCGAACAAAATCCTGGGGTTGTAAAAGCTCCTGATGTCATCAGAAACTACATTAAAATTGAGAACGTTACAGCTGAACAATATAACGTTTTTAATTCAGACGAGAAATTGGTGTGGATTAGTGGACCCGCAGGGGCGGGCAAAACTGTAATAATGTGTGGCAAGATCATACAGCTAGTTCAATCCGCCAAGGAAATTAAAGTTGTGTTATTCAGAATAACTGGGGGAGGAAACAATACCCAGGTTTACCAACGAGCACTGCAGAACGCGGATGTAAACCACGAGAAAGTAATCACTGATTGGGATAAATATACTCCCTCGGAACTGTGTGATTACATAGCAGAGAGTGCGTGTAGAGTCATCATTGTGGAGATAACACGTTATCTTCCGATCAAAGAGTTTTTAGGAAGACTCAGCAAATTTGAGGATTGTCATTTGTTCTTCGATGATTTACAAAGAGTGATGTTTAGTATCACACCCGAACAGTGTGGGGTTTTGATTGACAATTTATTGAAGTTGTCATTAAGAAAGTATATCTGGATTGCTTGTGACATGGGACAGGATTGTTACTTACAGGAGAGTACGAAACAATATCTACAGAACGTGATGGAGTTATCGAATGTGATTACCGATAAATTAAACCCAAATCAGAGAGTAATTTTATCCATGAATTTAAGGAACACCTTTGATCTATCGAAAGTTTTAACAATTATCAGAGATCGATTTATTGGATTAATTTCGAAGAGGTTGGATATTTTAGAGATGGTTTTACCAAGACAGGTCCCAGGTCATTTCATTCATGGCCCAAAATCTGTCATTCACATTTTGGACAGTTACAATGTTAGTACTATTGGCGAGGTACTGATTAAGGAATTAAATAAATTGTGTAACGTTAACGGATTAAATAATTCCGATGTCGGTATTGTTTTTAACTATCTCAGGGACAGTAGTGATGTTTTATCGCTTGTAGAAGACATTGTCCATAAGCGGAATGAAAACATTGATGATAAGATGATAGCATGTTACAGTAGGAACAGCTACTCTGCCGAGTGGCCTGCAGTGGTTGTGTTACATAAAATGTACGAGCTGAGCGAGGGAAACATGTCTAGACTTTACTTGAAGATTTCACGAGCACGTGTTTTCTGCTCTGTTGTTATTTACCCAGAGAAGGGCAAAACCTTAGAAGATTATGGAGATGTTTTAGATTTTTTAAATAAACTGAGATCTCACGCACATATTGTTCGACATTGTCATTAGATTAATATGAAATAAATGACAGTTTTTAAACGACAATTTTGAATTGATCGTGATTTTTATCACAAGTATATTATATTTTTAATGAATAAAACAATTGTTTAAGTTAAATCAAGTTACAGTGATGGAATTAACCAATACTAACATGGTCACTATGTACAACTACATATCAATATACTGAAAGTATAGCAATTCAATTTAATATCGATATGAATACAATAACCAAAAATAAGCGTGTTTCATTGTTTCTAATTCTACACTCAGTGTTTAAATTTAATCTGAAAAATGTGTATAACATGGCAAATAACCCTCCAATGTAAAATGTATCATCTTAAAAAGTTGGAAAAGAAAAACTCAAACTCTGAATACTGAATATTGAATATAAATAATAAATGATAGAGTTAGTCCCTCCCCAAACATTACAGTCAAAGCAAGATTGTCAAACTGTGACATTTACATTTACTGATCAACACCGATTATACTTTTCATTTACCAACACACTCAATTAATTCAACGATAAATATGGAATAAGGATTGGCTGGACGGTCACGGAACAAATTGCCGACAATTGAATCCCACGGAGCTTCGACTGTGACCATACTAATATTACAACGGATAAAAATTATAACCCTTTACCCCAACGTGACCTCATTTTACCTCTAGTGTCACAGAGAATGAGTCAGTAAACTGCTTAAACGTGTTAAGATGAGCTCCGTCAATCATATCACGTGAGAAACGAACATGTGAAGAGTTGATGTAGAACGTGTGGAAGTGTACTGTGAACATCTCCTGCGTCTGAAAAGTTGTGAAATGTTCAATTGTTGTTCCGATTTAAACAATACAAAACTGTTCGATGAATTGAAATCATGAAATTGGTGGCAAAATTACCACCAATGATAGAAATGGCCGTCATCAATAGTGCTCAAAAGTCAGGTGCTCCCATGAAACTTACCCCCAAAATGTCGGATACTGAATAGAATTGAAGTTTGATGTCTCCAGAAATGTGAAGAGCCAGAGGGAATGAAATGGGTTCCTCCGTTTTGTAGGATTCTGTGCTCTCAAACTCGTAGATCTCTTCTCCGTTTTGGAATACAACAAAGTAGGGTTCTGAAGAAAATGTTAAATTAGTACGTGATTATACAGAAAGAACTGCACCTCGTCCTGCTTTGCAATCCTAGCACTGTGTTTAACAATGTCTAACCCTTATCCGTCACATATGATATCCAGACGTTATCAACAATCTTTATCAATAACAAAGCAACCGAATGGTGCAAACGAAAAAAGTTGTGCTTACTGCAACTGCCATCCTCATTGAACGCAGGTGAATTAGACATGGATACATTTGAAAAGAGAAGCTTGATATCCTCAGGCTGCTCCCCCGCTATCACGCTCGTTTCAATGTACTTGAGGTATCTCTTCTGGCAGGGTAGCGATATTACACCATTCTCTCGCTTCGTTCTGAAGTGCTTGATAGCCTGCTCGGATGTCCAGCATCTGAGAGAATATAATTATTATTACATATTGGAGTGGGTTGTGCGGCACTCACTTTTTCTGAGCCCCTTGAAGCTGCGTATGAAAAGACATCAGAATTCATATGGCCCATATGATATTGGTGATGCTTATTGATTATCGTTATATCGGTTGGTTATTATTTCAAGACTCAACAGTCGGGAAAACATTATTCATAACATGTTTAAAAGCAAAGAGAATGAATCACTAACATCCGTGAGTGAACGAGATAAGATGCCACGAAGAGTCCGGAAGTAACATTTCCTGTCTGACAGTGAACCAGAATAACATTGGAGTCATCATCTTTCAACAGTTTGTCCTGTTTGGGAGTCCATTAAGATGCTGGTTCTTTTGCTTTTCATTTCAATTTCTATCAAAGTCCTATTAAACAAACTGAAGATCTAAAACTCCGTACAAAGTATTTGTTATGAAATTAAGTCAAGTTGCTTGATTGAAGTTTCTGTACCGTGAACTCGCAGAAGTTCCACATGTCTGTGAGACTAGAAACTCCGTTAGGAGGGGTGGGGTAGGAGGACACGTTTTCTCCGAACATTGTTGCGTCGTACGACTTCTCACATACGTTAACGATTCTATAGTGACCCTGAAATGAGACTGTTATTGGTGGCAGCTTAATACAAAAACATTGATGATATTCATATTAATGATATTGATGACTTAAATCAACATAGAATCTGCCAAATAAACGAAAAAAGAAAAGCAAAGAAATAACAGCTTACTTTGTGTTTATCGTCCATGAATCTCTTGAGCTCGTAAACGTCACTCCGAGTAGGAGGGAAGCTACACACAAGAATGTTGTCTGTAATGTAGCTGACATCTATCCTGTAACCCTCGTGGGACCAAGATGGATGTTCTGGCAACTCTCCAAATACTGAGAAAAATGGGCATGTCAGAAAACGTACAATGCACAAATGGAGCTTTTGATTAAACAGTCCTTTTAGAATGAAAATGCTAAAAGTAAGACAGATTATGAGCCAAATCATGGCACCATTTCACCCACCAGAAGGTTTCTTATTGCGAGCTATTTCTGCGGTGATGTCGATGTTAAGTTTCATTGCCTCTCTCAACTTCGTTAACCATGTCCTCATCTCGTCTTCAGTGAGACAAGACATCTTATACATAGCTTTATTCTTTTGTGTTGAGGAAGTCTTCAAGATGAACGAGTATTGGAGATCTGTTTTGTCAGCGTTAATTGAAAGCTTTGTACCCCATAATGGTAACATTTCTTTAGGTCGATGGTCCTGAAGATTTGGGGCATGAAACAATCTGTATCAATCAGAGATATCATCGCGACCAGATTAAAGGACGTCATCTTTTAGTTACAGAAAAAAACTTCCGAAAAACCGTCACAATCAAGCTTGGGTTTATCAAGGACTCACGTATTCTCTGTTGAAGAGATAGAGTGCTCTAGCAGTTAGAATAGCCTGGTAATCTCCCCACTTGTGTCGTTTCCTCTCCCTCAGGATCCGTCCCGTGTAAACCACGTCCTCATCTGCCAGGGTTTGATAGGTTAACTTAACACTTGATAGGTTAACTTAACACTTAACCAGAGATAAGAGTGATATTTATAAATTATATGGTGAGAATTAGGTAGGTTCATTCTCACTGAGAATGCTAGTGAAAGAAAGTCAAGACGAAAAGATGAAGAACAATATTGAAACTGACCAAGAGGAAGATCGTCTATTCCAGCAAGGATGTCACTATTTTCGTTACCATCACTACTGTCTGAGTCACTTTCTATTTTATCACACCTGTACCTGCAGTGTGACATTAGTCATCACGGTAACTCGGTAATCTGCCGATGCACATCTGGGGCACACCTCGGGCACACCTGGGGCACAAACTCGGGCACACCTCGGGCACACCTCGGGCACACCTGGGGCACAAAGCACACCTCGGGCACAGTTACATAATTAACACAGTTTAATTATATAACTGTAAACAACTTACAAAATATCCAGTTTAGAGATCCACCCAGTTTGCTGACAAATAAAAACAATACCTTCTGCATCTCTCACCTCTTTTCAGTTTTCTTGTTCTTTTGGTACTGATATTGGGTTTTCTGCCGTTGCATCCTCTTTTGAGGTGTTGGTCCAAAAGCTCCAGATTCTCTTTTCTTTGGCACCCTTTGTTTCGGAGTCTGTTGAACAGGTTTAAGTTGACGATTGGGTGTCCAAGCCTGCTGAACTTTATTGGTTCCAGGTGAGGCTTCTTGTTGTCCTCCTCTGGATTTAACACTCCGAACTTCATCTCTGCTTCCTGATGGTTATAACGAGTGTGTCAGATATTCTGAGGACCAGATACGAAACGAACCAACTTTTTTTGTCGGACGTGAAGATCTAGGTTAACAAAAAGGAAATATTTTGTTCAGAGTAGATGGCTTGTTCTCAAACTTTAGACTGGGATCACAGGACATTAGACAACGACGAATCAAGTTTTCAAGAAAATTCTATGATAATTGTTGATGAAAACAAGGCTGAATTCATCAAGTATCCTTCAGCAATGGAATGTACATGAAGATCACTAATACAAAAGGTGAAAATGGACTGGAGAGTTTTATCACAGACAGAATTGTGATTTGGTGTGCACTGTGCACAGGACAGTTCATGACACGAAACAAATCTTACTTTTTCCTTTCTTTTTACGACCTGCAATTGTCTACAAGTTAATACTAAAATTGTGTTAATATTAAAACAACGAGAATATTTTACAATATACCAACACAGTAGTCTGAATAGTTGTTTAAGGTAACCCACCAGTTGATCTGGAGTCCGGAGGAGCATTTTTCGGATCTTTGGCTTTTCTACTTTTTGTCCTTAGTTTAGGTGTTGGTGACAATGTTTTCTGTGCTAGGAGTTGAGCCTCGATCAGCGGCGACATTTCTTCCCAGTGGGCTTCGATCTGAACAAAACTAATCTTAAAATCACGATAGTAGGGCCTTTTCTAATCATGACAGGGTTGATTTGCCCATAAAATTAAATCGGTAGAAATAAAATCAAAAAACTTATGCATCATAACATCGATGCATTCGTAGATCTTAAAGTTAAATCTCCAACTGACTTGGTTCTTGTCGGGGGTGACAGCGCAGGTGATGTCTCTCCAGCAGGGAACTACACGTTCCTGTAGAGGGGAACACGTGACACAGGTACATCTCACACTGCACTTCTGACACGTTCTACGGGTCGTGTAGCACCTACAGGAACAGGAACTGTTAAATGAGAGGAGTGGAGTTGGGATTATTATTTGAGATCGGACATTTACTTCATACCTGTCAATAATTTAGTGAGTAATGTTAAAATAGTAATAGCATGACTATGATATGAAAAGATTCGATCGTAGCGCTATTTTCTGGGCTGTGTTCCAGCTTCAGTTTGTCTGTATTAATAATTTAAAAATCACTCGTGAGAGACAACATGCTCACCTGTTAGCAGTGTATAGTTTGTTGTACTGGAAATCAGCCGGAGCAGAATGAGGTCGGCACTGCCTCCCAACCGCTAATCTGTTTCCTGGTCCCAGGTTCCGGCGAGGAGGCGCCGCAAGATTGGGGGCACCGCCCCCACCATGGGGGGTTGGAGGGGGGTCCCGGAGTGCATTGTGGGGAAACGTGGCAGGTACTGACAGAGGTACTGAGGTACTGAAAATGGAGTTGTGAGAAAAACTAGATTTTAACTTTTTAACAAATGAAAAGATGAAAAAAGAAAAAAAGATTCACTTTTACGACTGAGTGAGTAATCTGTATAAAGTGTGCACGATTAAACCGCGTCAAAGGAAATGCGGTTAACATGTCTGATGTATGGTTAACTATGTGCAGCTAGCCCGCAAAGAATTGATAACCATTAACCAACCGACCATGATTTTACATGGATAGATAGACGTTCAAAGATCTCTAAAATCGGCGACAAGACGGATATCCTAGTCCCTGTAGTATTCGGTCTGATTGCCACATTATGACCATTCGGTTTCGGAACTATCACAGGAAAACTCATCAAAATTTAATTATAATATCTACAAATACGATGAACATGAGCAGCACAGTGGCTGAAAGTAAAATGTTTTCACTACATGGTATGTACGTGCGTAGTTCTCCTGCACGTCTAACACTTTTTAGTGAGCTAATTTGTTATGTACTTATTTTTTAACTTTACAAGCATTCCAGTAAACAGCAACTCAAACTAATATTCTTATTGGCCGCTATGGATTAAGCGAGAAAACTTAGCTGGAGTATTTCGCTTGTTAATTTAAATGTTTTAAAGATCAGACGTTTCAAACTCCGTCCTCCAATAACAAACGGTTGGTTTAAACTACGTTAGCTTGTTAATAACAACACCACTTACAAGATAATTTAAACTCTCCGTATAAATGTTTATACGCTTGTAGTGGCAGCTCTACGTGAAACATCCGTCTTTTGTTACTATGTTAAATTACTCGGCTCTATTGACCACAAAACACGATCAAATATTTACTATACTAACCGTAACTGAATAACATTTAAAACCTAAGAAATTTAGCAACTAAGATCTCAGACAATGAAAAAGGATTAAGCATGATCAGTAGTCAGTACGCAAAAAAAAGCCGACTCACTGCACTTGCTGCTTGGTTGGCTGCTTGTGGATGGTTCGGTGGGGAGTAGCGGTGGCAGCTCTGGTCTTAGGTCTCTCTTTCCATATTTTAGCAGTGCTGTGTACAGGCGAGTGGGGTGGATATGCACTCTGTGGGGACAGCACGGAGTTAGATAAACGAGTGGGAACATTTCCACTGTCAATAAGGAGGCGAGCAAACTGACGGGTGGAGAGAAGTGGAGGATGTTTGAAACTTGACATGGTACAAAATAACATCTTACTCCAGCCTAGCTACAAAACAGCGTCTCATTAATAGGGGTCAAGTTACATATTGGTGAACACCGGTCATGGCACATGGCCCACTATAATGCTACCGTATCAATTGGTAATGTGATTTGATAGTACCAAAAACTAATGAAAGATTCTTTAAGGGTCAACTTATCAAAGAACATAGCAAGACCACGAATTTGTAACTGATCGTACCTTAGATTGGAAGGCCTCGTGATAAAGTCTGTAAAGATTGTACTTCGTGTCTGTACCCGACAAACAAGAGTTGTCCTCATTTCTGAATGTTTCGTACAATTCGTAAAGTTTCAGCAGTTTATTTTTGACCTGGAAATAGAATAATAAGATTTAATTTCAATGCCACCAAAAAGCCACTAATACCCGTGCCCCTACATCAAAGAAATGCGTGATTTTCATTCTCAAAGACCTCAATCACTTCATTATGAAAGCCTCGCAAATCTCACAAAACTCACATCTTTACTGGAGAGACCACTCTCCCTGATAATCCGGAGCTGTTCCTTCTCTAGCTCCTCTCTAACGACCAGTCTCTTTAGTTCCCGTTCTAATGCTGTCAGAGGATGTCCCACTAACACAGGGTCCCTCCTTCTTACCTCCTGAGAACTTAAAATTACTTAAGTGATTGATGAGATGACGAAATGTCCTGTGAATTGTCATTTACTTTTGACTTGTAGATTATGAATATTGTCAAGCACAGATATTTATAGCCAAGATCAAAGAGAATTTTGTCGAAGCTAATATACTAATTGCATAGCATAAAAGATGTTGGTTGCACCAAGCACCTACCATAGACTCATTTTGTCGACATCTCTCCAAGTTAATTTGCTTCCTAAACTTTGCCCTTTTTTTGTAAAACTTGAAGCTGATACAATGATACAATATTAATCAAAATAAACTCTTCGTGCTTAAATTTGTCTTTTATTTTGATCGCTAAGATACGAACTAGCAAGCAGAACAGTACAGTGAATGTGTCAGTACACTTCACTCAAAATTAAATCAAAACACTCGATCATTTTAAAATTAAAGCAACTTGAACTTCTGCAGTAAGCGACCATTTAAAATCTGAAAGAGAAATAAAAGTCGGTAGAATAAACGACATGGCTTACTTTGATTAACCGACGCGAGACAATCTTGGCAGCTGGGACGAAACAAAGGGGTTCAGATAGAATTTACTAGCCATAAAAAGGTCAGAGCATCATGCACCTCAGCCCAAACAAACCAATAGAATGGGTTCAAACTTTAACAAGTCGCAGATGGTGCACGGTAACTAAAACACGTGTTTTACTGACGCAAACAATCGACAAATAATCTGATCACAAAATTTACTGCATCGATCGAAACTGGCTAATCAAATTTGGATGAAAACAAGACAAAAATCATAAATCTCCTGTAATTTTAGAAATTAAAGTTACGAAGAAAGAAGCCAACTGAGGTAGAGGAGCAGTTACAATGCCTCCTTCATTAAACATGGTTTGAAAATATTAGTCATAACATAATACAGGGATCGGGTTAAAACACTTAAGATGTTAAATTGATAACCTTGCATTGGACACCATGGTAACCTAGGTAAGCAGCTATTTGTAATTCAATACCGAATTATTCGGGCGTAGGTCTGAAGGGTCGCTCCGGGCATGGATTTGGGTTACTTTGACTGATTAATGTGTTTTATTTGATACGTGAAGATTTACCTAACTAATTCATTTTGTTCAAGACTAATGGACGAAAATAAATCTGTGAATGAAACATTGAAATAACTTGCAATGGCTACCAAAACCATGGTTGGTTTGAAGTCACAACAATTCAATGAAAATTTCACAGTAAGTTTAAACACCATCAAAACTTTAATAGAGAGAATAGCCGTGATATAAATACTTAAATGTTCTGAATAAAACACATAGCGGTGTTTAAACACATGTTCGAGAATTTTTGCGACCACAATAACGCAAATAATCATAAAATACAGAAAAACCACACCAAATTCGGTTTCAGATGATCCAGTTAAAAAACCTAGAACAAGTAGCGACTCTAGAAATGACAATGATTGTTCCGCAACGTAAAATGCTCAGCCACTGATTGAATCACGCTGTGTATTGGAGCGTTGTTATAATGCATGCTTGTCGAAGGAAAGAAGCGCTTATGACTGTGTAACATCTAATTTCTTGATTTGAGGAGGAAGACTGGAGTGGATTTCTCTTGCAGTTCCCCTGAAATTGATAACATACAGCGTTATTTGATGAAAATGGTCACCTGGTGCGAGTAAGGTGCACGCCAATTCACATCGGTCATGTTACAGTATCATCCATCTTTCCAACTACGCAATAATGAATTAAAATCCTTTAGCTTTCTAGGTCATTACATGGTACAAGGTGAATGCTCATCACACAATATTCTCGTGGGAGTGTTGCATCAGACCTGACCAGGTACACAGTTTTATTATTGTAGTCTTGTAGTCTTGTAACAACCACTCCCACAGAAACACACTTTCAGTACGATCAGTTTCCACAGAAGCCATGCAGAGAATCACATGCATTTTTTGCGACTTTTGCAGACAGACAATGGGCTTTGATCATTGATCAGCGAAAATCTACGTGAAATTTACTATATCGTCATCAACAATCATTGGGGCAAGAAATACGTGAGTAATAAAAGACAATCGCAGCAAGTACTAGGTTTCAGCATGTACAATGTACAATGTACAATGTACAATGTATTTCAGTACCATATTGTCCAGTAGTAGTTAACTAGTAGGAACGGGGAAGAATACCGAATCTTCCCAAACACCGAATATAACGGTTCGTGACGGGAATTAGGATCATTATATGTATAATTTATGCTAATTGTCAAGACTAATTCTTGGTAGATAATTGTATTTATGGTGTGTATTATACTGCAACCGGGTTTTCAGAGCGTCGAGGAATGCGAACAATGAACATACAACTTATCAGTATAAATTATAAGTGTTAAGTTTTATATATTGTTTTATTCACGATATGCAGCGAACCCTGATTCTGTGGAAATCACGTGATGGAAAATGCAGCAGTTGATATCTAATAATAACCGTTCATATTTATATACCGGTCGTGACTAAAAAAAACCGGAAATGATTTAAAATCTTCTCCTCCAATTTTCTCTCAGCTACCCAAATAACTCAAAATTAGTTGTAACTAGAACGTACGTTTTGGCATTTGTCTTCGCTTAGGTAAGCGTTACTTACCAACCATTTATCACATTATTGCTTAACTAATAATCTGTTAAACGTAAACATTAATTAAATAAGTCGCGTGATTACTGATTATAACAAACAGGAAAGAGTGATTAGTCAATGTCATAGTGACTGTAATTATCATAGTGACTGTACCTCAGTGATGGTAGTAACGCAGCTAAAATAATGAACAGGCAGGAAGTATCACGGTCTTTACATGAGAGACGCGTTTGTCCTCGTGTTCAACTGACAAATGACTGGTGATAACTTATGGGATAACAGAGCCAATCACGAGCTGTGGAAACAACACATTTATAAGCAGACCAACACATGGTAATGTCATTAAATGATTATCCAAGCATAAATTGCACAATTGACAATGAACAGCACAGCCTTTCGTTGCATCATTTAATTGCATTGGTCTCTTCAGGGTATGATCAGTCGCTTGGATAAGCATGTTCAAATATTTGGGATATTTTTCTGGTAGCTCAGTGATTTGACTTTCCTCCACTTTCGTCAGTTTGCGCTGCTGACTGACTTATTTATAATATAAGTACTAATCGAGTCTTATTTTGATCCCCGTTGACGTGTTAGCAAAGAACCAAGACTTTAAGGATCTACAACTCTTTAATGTTAATGTCATGACTTCAAACGATTCGGACGGGAGTTATGCTTCAAACGGGAGTCAAATTCTTGGCGATTTCCAATCTCCCGGAGCGATTGAAGGAGATATCTTTATAGGTCTCCTCCTACTAGCCTGTTTCTTGATTGGAGGGCTAGGAAACACTGCGGCTCTGGTTTATTTCTTGAGGGAGAGTGGAAACACTGTCTTGCTCATCGTTTACAGGTTTATAGCATTCGCTGATGTCCTGAAGTCACTCTTGGTTCTACCCATGTTCCTCTCCTATTTCTGTGGGCGACAGAGGATGTTGTTTGCGGGGGTGGTCATGTGTACGTTTTGGAGTGTGACCTTCAGCTCCATGGCTCACTTCTCCATCTTTTTAGTTGCCGTGATGGGCATCGTGAGGAACCTCCACCAGTTCAACCCAAACAGAGTAAAGAATGCCAACGCTATGACTGTCATGATTATCGTCAGCTCCGTAGGACTTCTCGTCCTAAACCTCTCTCCTGCCATCTTCTGGGACCTGACAGCGGAGTACAGTTCCAGTCACGTGACGTGTGGTTGGTACACAGTTCCTGAGAACAGCACTGATGATTCCGCCGAACACTCTAGGATACACCCTTACAACTTTGTTAACGCTCTTCTGACCATCGTTCCCCTGGCACTTCTTATCCCAATCGCGATTAGCTTTGGACTTAACCTTTACTTTCTCTACCAAACCCGACACATTCCTTCAAAGGCTTATGATGAAAATGGGGACGAGTTGACCACGTCGAGTTTTGCTTTCGCTTTTACGCCGGCAGGGAACCGCCGCTCTACCATTACCATCGTTAGCGTTTCCGGTGTTTATCTCCTCTTGAACACTCCTCTACTCTTCGCTTTCTTCTTGGACTCTTCTGATGGAATCGTTGACCGCTCCATCGGTTCCAGGATTGATGGTTCTCTGCACTCCTACGTTTCTAACTTCATTTACATTTTAAGCGGGCCTTTGAGCGCAATGGCGGACTTCTTCATCTTCTACACCAAAATTTCAAGGTTTAGAAAAGGAATCGAGGACAAGGGTCAAAAGGGACTTTCCAAAGTCAGAAAGGTGTAAAGAAAAGGTGAATTAAAGAACGCCAGATGTAAAACTGGAAAGACTTTAACAGTCCATGGAACTCTAATGTTTCCGCAGTTGTGAATGAACAAATCAAAGTGCAAAGATATTCGAGTCATGAAATTTGACTACAACTGGTAGGAATAGACTTAGAATTTTGAATGACTGTTAGGATTTTGGATGGTTTGACTGAGCTAGGCACAACCAAATTCAAATTCAACGTAACTGGGTTTTGTAAACCGTACACTTCTAACTTTGTATGAATAATTTCGTACTCAATTTTTACATTTATACTTATACTTATTATAATACCACCAAACGGATAATCCTGTTAAATCAAAAGTGTGTTGCAAAGTAACTCTGATAAGGTATATGTACTATGTATTAGCCTTGTGTACCAAATATAATATTTGCAGTTTTCTGACAAAAGCTTAGATTTAGAAACCTCGTATAATTTTGAACTGAAGCACTTTTGTCAGAAAACAGCAGATATATGAATATCATGAATGTAATGTATTTTTTATTGATTGTGTAAAAATGCAAAATTCCTTGTCGTAATATTATTATTAAGTCAATAAATTGAAACATTCCAATGACGATTTAAAATTGTGAATGTTGATAAGCACGATTCTTTGAAGGCTTGTATACTTGTGGATAATGATATGCAAGCTGTATAACCTTTAGAATCATAATCAACTCAGCTATGGTAGAAACCATTCGAAATCAAACAAAAAACGTATCGGTAAATAAAGAACGGAGTAAAATCATTTTTGAATTTTTAGCAATTCAAATTATTTTCTTGTTTATGCAAAACTGTTCATCAAGTGCAAGTGGGGTGCAAAGATTGGTTTGACGATGATAATATATAACTAGCAATAAGAGATAACTGGCAATAACATACCAAAATAAAAATTCCTACCATGAAAGTTCAAACATATTTTAATGGA